ACACACAAACGCGCACACGCACACGCACACGCACAGACACACACACACACACACACTCATTTTGGCCCTCGGTGGTGGGGGGGCCCTTGATGGTGTGGCGAGCCTCGCCTTTGGCCAGCACCTAGCGGCGGGGAGCGCACCCTAGCCAAAATACCACCCGCCCTAAGAATGGTGCGCCCCTGCGGCCGCGTGGAGGGGCTTGGGGGCGGGGGGGCGCCTGGGGAGCTGTCCGTCGCCTGGGTGGTCTTCCGCGTTCCCCTGTCCCCTGGTCTCCTCTCCCCTCCCTGGCCTGTTGGTGGGGGGGGGGCATGCTACGCTGGGACCTGTGGCATGTGGGGTGCTAGCAACCCTCAGCCCTCGTGGCGAGGGGCCGCCTGGGCGGTGCGTCTGCGCTGCCACCACACCCCGCCCTTCGGCCCCTCCCAGCCTCGGACGGCGTACGGTCCCGCCATGGTGGCCTTCTGCCCCAAAGCCCGCCCCCCCCCTGTTGTCGGCACAGGGGAAGGGTCTCGGCGGCGAGCGAGGGGGGGAAATGAGAAGGAGATGGCCTGCTCGGAAGTCCCTGGTCTTCTGAGAAGTTTTCGGAGCCTTTCCCGATTGCAGGGAAAACCTCTCAGAGGGCGCGAGGGCTTCCGAGGAGTCCCGCCGCCTTCTGAGAAGGCACTGTTCTTGGCATGTCCCCCCTCCTCGCCAGCCGCCGACTTCTGCCCCTAGGCAGGGGAAGGGGCACCGCCCCGAGGCGCGCAGCTCGTGCCCGCGGCCGCGCGCCAGTCTGTTCCGCCCGTGGACGGCCGGCTTCGGCCCTCAGGCGGCGGCGCATTGCTGCCACAACCAACAGGCTTCGCGGCCTCGCGCACAGCGTCGAGGCGCAGAAGGTCGGATCTCTAGAAGCGGGAAACACAAACACAAATCCACACACACACACACACACGTTTGGCGGTCGCGGCCTCGCGCGCGGCGACGGGACGAAGAAAGCCAAGCACGGTAGCCGAAACCTAGGCCAGTGCACGCGCGCGCGCCAGCTCAGAGGGGGGGCAGCACATTGCCATCTGGGCGTGGATGGCGGGGAGAAGGGAGAGCGCACGAAATACACACACGCACGCGCGCAAACGCGCGCAAGCACGCGCACATCGTACTGTTGGCCGAGACGCCTCCCGCTCGCCTACCGCATTGCCAGTCGCCTCTGCCTCCTATAGCTGTTCGACGCGGAGGTCCCCATGTGTACATCCCATGCCATGGCGCTTCCCAATGGGGGTGCCGGAATGGGAATCTCGGGGGCGCGCAAACATGGATTAGCGATCCGTGGATTTGGCGCGCGGTCGGCGCGCGGTCGCCTAATCCATGTATCGGGGGAGGTGCCCTCCCAAAAATGCGGCGGGTGCGCCTCGCTCGGCGGCGGAAATCCGCAATTTCCCATGGAAATGGGGCCCGTCGCTAATCCAAGCCCCTTAATCTATGTTTGCGATCGCCTGACTATAGCTACGCGACGCGGAGATCCTCATATGTGCATCCCACTTCCTGGCACTTCCCAATGTGAGTGCCTGAATTAGTCTTAGCTTTGGCGACTGAGCGCTCCCTGTCGGCTCCCCCTCGGGTTAAGTTGGGCCTGTCCCCCTACAGAAAGATTGTGGGCGCGAAAAATAATACATAAACAAAACATATCCAACATATATTTAAAAAAATCAAAACATCGTCCCCATACTGTTTTTGGACAACTCTTGAATATTCTTCCTGTAGAAGGACACGCCCGACTTAACGCTAGCTTTGGCGACCCCGAATGCAGAGGTGTCGGGGGTGCCCAAGCCAGTGCTTCCCTTGAGACATCCCTAGAAAACAAAAAAACACCCCCATAATAACCACCCCGACACGCGAATGCGTTTAGTAAACGCGCCCAAAGAAGGAATCAAACAGGGCAGGGCTGTTTAGGAAACGCCCAGGGCCGTTCAATAAGTAAACGCCAATTGTCCGGTGCGGTTGGTTTTCCCCCCTTGAATCCCCACGATCTTGCCGCGAACGGCCACATGTAATCCCGCCCCCCCCCGAGCTCCTAGATGCTCTGCCTGCTGCATCGTGGTGATCATGGGGGTGCAAGCGGAGAGGAGTCGGGAGTGCCCAAACCAGTGTTTCGCTCGAGACATCCTCTCAATCTGGCCGCGCACTGGCAAGTACAGCACCCCCTGGTGGCTCCTCCTTGGGGAGCCCAGTCACAATGCGTGCTATCGAGGTGATCATCCGTTCTCAAAAGAGAAGAACTGCGGACGCAGTGCGCAATGATCATGAGGCTCTCAAAAAAGAAGAGCCCAGAACGCCCAACGAGCGGACCGCTCGAGACATCTCCACAATCTGAATGCGAGCAGGAGACATAAACTTCCCCACGTTGGCTCGTCGTTGGGGGTCGAAGTGATCTTGCGGCTGAGTGCGATTACAAGTGAGCCTTAGCATGAGTTAGTCTGAGTGCGAACATGAAATACGTAAATACCCCTCTGGCGGCTCCTCCCGAGCGCCCAATTGCTATGCTTGCTACAGTCAGCTCGTAGAAGAAGGACGCGCGACAAGAATGCGGGAAGCGGTATATCTGGGAAAAATGATCACTTGCGATGGTAAAGCAACTCCGGAAATCACCCGCCGCTTGGGGGAAGCGCTTGGCATCTTCAACAACTTTGCAAATATATGGTCACACACCGCGGCTGGGTGGAAACGAAAATTCCTATTATATGAAAGCGTTGTTCTAAGCAAGCTGCTGTATTCACTCGATTCTATGTGGCTGTTAAATGCAGACAAATGCAGGCTCGACGCATTTCACTGCCGCTGCCTGCGGCGCATCTTGGGCATACCGCACTCGTTTCTGTCGCGCGTGAGTAACGCGGACGTCATGGACAAAGCTGGCGCCAAACCTCTTTCCCAGATCCTGCTTGGAAGGCAAGAAAAGAAAAGTTGTATCTCAAAATCGCAGCAAGCGCTTCTTCATCCTTGGTACGCAAATGCTTATGCAATATCGATGGTACTCCTAAGAACTGGGTGGTGCACCGGAGGCGCGGCCGACCCAGGCAGCAGTGGGCTACCGAAGTGTACAAGACTGCGCAGCACATCTGAGGCATCCCAGTTTTGTCCTCCAATTCCTCTACCTCCTCTGTCTCGCTTTTCGCATTTTTTTCGAAGAGTTCCAATCGCGCGCTCTTCTGCCCACGTGTCCCTCTGGATGCTCGGCTTAGTGGTGGTGGACGAGAATGCGATGGCCTTGGAAGGCCCCGTCGACACTTTGCGGGCGGGGCGCGGCCAGCGAAAGCGGCCAAGAATGGGCAGAAGGGGAAGGATGCCAGGGTAACATTGGAAAGTCGCTCAGGCTGACTGCACGTCGCGGTGGCTACAGAAATCCAAGGGGGAGAGGTCGGGGGCGCCAAAACCACGTTTCGCCTGTGACATCCCCACAATCTGAATGCAAACGAGAAAATAAAAAATATCACCTGGCGGCTCCTCCGTACAGTGCCCAGAAGGTATATATGCCTGCTTCATCGCAGTGGCCATGGGGTTCTAAGAGGGGAGGAGCTGGAGGCACCAAAACAACGGTTCGCCGTAGAAGTCTCCACACTCTGGGCGAGACTCGAGCCCTGAAATACCCCCTGGCGGCTCCTATGTGGGGTGCCCAAATGCTACGCCTGCTACATCGCGGTAATCATGAAACTGAAACGCTTAAGAAAGAATGATTCGGAAACACAAAAAAACAACGTTTCGACGAAGACGTCCCAAAATCTGCGCGAGACCAGAAAATGAAACGCCCCCAGGCGGATGCTCCGTGGGGGTCCCGAGAGCTTTGCTGCATCGCGGTGATCATGAGACTCTCGAAAGAGAGGAGACGGGGACGCCGAACGAGCGAACCGATAGAGACATCTCCACAGTCCGAATGCGAGCAGGGGACAGAAACTTCCCCACGTTGGCTCGCCGTTGGGGGTCGCGGTGATCTTGCGGCTGAGTGCGATTACAAGTGAGCCTTAGCATGAGTTAGTCTGAGTGCGAACGAATTTCTGCACAGGTGAGTCTTAGTGAGTCGAATGGCCAACTATGAGTATGAGTAAGTCTGAATGTGAATGGCTATCGGCGTGAGTGAGACTGTGTGTGAGCAAGTCTGAGTGCACGTGAGTCTGAGTATGAGTGAGCCTGAGAGTGACTAAGCTGGGTATGAATGGCCCTGGGCTTGACGAAACTGAGATGAGCATGAGCGTCTCTGAGTATAGAAAGGAGAAGACGGGGGTGACAGAGACCGAGGAAAGAACCAACAACCAACACGAACCATAACTTAAGAGATGGGGGGACAAACACGCCTGGCCTCGGAGCGCCGCCGGGGCGTTGCTTTGATTACATTGCTTCCGGCACGGTCAATTCGATCACCCGACGGTCAACAACTCGCTGAGTTTGTTCCGCTCACCCCGAGTTCTAACACAATCAATCTAAGCATGCCACGCCGTCACACCATCCGCTCGGATTGCCTTCGATGGCACCCGTGTTGCTCACACTGCGTCGCGATCTCATGAGAAGAATCATGAGCCCTGAGTCGACGCCTCGCTGAGACATGCTGCTGGTGCGGTAGCATGCACACACTCGAATCATAGCAAGGCTCAATGGCCTACGTATGCTCTACAGTGAGTGTCCAGTGACAGCCTATGCCTCATGATGCGGCTAGCGCGTACAAAATCGCATAGATAAGCGAAGTGGCAAGCGGCGAGGAAAAACAAACTGCCTTGTAGCCCAAGCACAGGCATATCAAACACAATTGCAAAGGCCTGTCGGAAGGGTCCGCCAGATGGCGGCTCATTGACACGTGCAGGCCGCAATCGTTCCTAAGCGTAAGCGCGGAAAGCCCGACGCACGAACGGCACCCAGTTAAAGCCAACCCCGTCTGCATCGAAAGCGAAAAAAAATGGCCAACTGCGGAGCCATACAGATCACATGCGGGCGCGAAGGCTGGCAAAATCTGCCACCGTACCCTGAGGCACGACTTGGATTTATCCCGGGGCCCCTTCGAATTCTCTGCGCTACGTCTTGTAAATATTCCTTGAGGGGCCCTCAGCCCGGAGCTCCATGCGCTCCCCGGCGCTCCGGGGTCCCCGCGTGACTTCTCCAGAGGCCAACAGCGTGTGTTGTTCGGGACACGCATGTCCCACATGGCCTAAGATGGCCCCGAAGACCGTCCTGATCCCCTTTTGGGAGCCCCCTGGGCCGTGGAGGCCCTGCCCCCAAGATGCCAAAATCGTTGAATTCCATATGCTGTCGCACGGTTTTAGTATTCCCGCGTTTATCGTCTGCAGAGCCTCCAAGGCGGGCCAAGAGGCGCCCAAAATCGGCCCAAGAGCCCTCAAGAGGGGCTCAAGAAGCTCCCAAGACAGCCCCACCAAGAGGGGCCCAGGGGGGCACGACCTAACATTTTGAGTCCTCCGCCCCAAGATGGCCCCAAGATCCCCCCAGAGGCCCCCGAGATGCCCCCAAGAGGCCGCAAAAGGCTCCGAAGAGGCCCCGAGAGGCCCAAATCAGGCCCCAAGAAGCCCCGAAGAGGCCCCCGACGAGAGGCCCCAAACCAACCCAAAAACCCTCTCCAAGAGGCTTTTGAGAGGTCCCCAAATAGATCCTCACAAGTATCCACGGGGCCTCTGACCGACAACCCAGGCACGGTGACGGGATGGACCGAAGGCCATTCGACCTTCTTAGCACGGGGACGGAAAGCGCATTCGATTTCAGAGCGCAAGGGATCGCTGGCTGTTTCGTTGTTCCTCATCTTCTTTCTCATCTTCCCTCGCTCTTATCTTATCACATCGTGTTTTCCCTTATCCCTGCTCTCTTGACTGTAAAGTCGCGCTGTGGGCCTTTTGTTCTGTTCTGGGCTTCCGAGTGAACCTCTTGGGGCACTCTTGGGGCCCTCCTTGGGCCGTCAATTGGAGGTATCTTGGGCCGTCTTGCGGCCCTCTTGGGCTGTCTTGACGCCCTCTTGGGAGCCTATCACCTCTCATCTCCTCTCGCCTCCAGTCTGCTGGTGGCAAACAACGATGGGAAAACAACTGAGCATGGCATTTCCGGACCTTCCTCGGGGTCCTTTGGGAGCTCTTTTGGGCCGCCTTGGGGCCCTCTTTGGCCGTCCTGCGGCCCTCTTGGGCCGTCTTGGGTGGCTAGGGCAGTCTTGGGGCCCTCTCGGGGCCCTCCCGGACCCTTTTGGGGACCTCCTGTGGCCCTCTTGGGGCTGTCTCGGGAACCTTTTGGGACCCTCAGGGGCCTCTCTTGGGCCGGCTTGGGGCTCTCTTGGGCGGTCTTGGAACCCACTTGAGCCGTCTTGGGGCAGTCTTGGGGGCCTCTTGGGACATCTTGGGGCGGTCTTCGGGGCCTCTTGGGCCGTCTTGGACGTTGTGAAGACCGAAGAAGCGAATGTGCTAAAAATACACGTTCTCCTAAGGGAATGAAATGATTGTTGCCTTTTGGAGCTCCTCTGGGGGGCCTCGCGTTTTGAAGACATCTTTGGCCGTCCTGAGACCATCTTGGGCCCTCTCGGAGCGGCCTTGGGCCGTCTTCGAGCACTTATAGGACTTCTGGAGGCCGTCGTGGAGGTATGTGAGGGCTTCTAGGGAGCGTCTTGTGCCGTCTTGGAAGTCTCTTGGGCGCTCCTGGGGCTGACGTGGGACGTCTTGGACAGAAAATGGCAAAATAAAACAACACAAATGGGGCCGTTAGATCTACCGCTAATCCTGCCTACACCCCCCCCTTGCTATTTCTCTTGCCTAACAGATCGCGACGCTACGCGCGCTTTCCGTCATCCGCCATTCCCTGCTCATTTTTCAGAAGGGTGCCTGGCGTGCTGAATCCTTGGTAGTTGTTGGTTCGTCTTGAAACTCCCCCTTGGGGCTTCGGCCCAAACCGGCGGCCACCCAGAAAGCTCCCAAAATTCATCTCTCGTTGGTCAAATCGCATCCAAGACGGCCAAGATGGACCACGATGGCCTCAAAGATGCCTCCAAGACGCCCCAGGGGTCCTCCAAGAAGGCCCGAAGAGGCCAAACTCATGTATGTGCCTTGGGTTGTTCAAGGATGTTGGCATTTGCTTCTTCTCGGTTTTCCGAAAGCCCAAGACGTCCCAAGAAGCATCCAATATCGCCTCCAGACCACCCGAGGGGCCTCCAATATGGCCCCCGGACGGTCTAAGAGGCCCCCAAGGCGGCCCAAAGGGTACGGTCTCCAAGACACCCAAGAGGCCCCCAAAACAGCCCAAAGGGTACGGTCTCCAAGACACCCAAGATGGCCTCCCAGACGGCCCCGGGGCGGCCCAAGAGGGCCCCCCAAGATCCAAAGAGGCCTCCAAGACAACTTCCGACGGCGTCACACAGGCCAGGAACGCCCTAGACGGACAAAGAGGTCTCCAAGAAGCCCCCCAAAGCCCACAAGAGGCCAAAGGAGGCCCCCAAGAGGCATCCAAGAGGCGTCCGAGAAGCTCCTAGGAGGCCGCAAGAATGACCCAAGAAGCTCCCAAGAATTTTCATCCTTCTCCTCATCCTCCTTGTTTATCCCTATCCTCCTCCTCTTCCTCCCCCACGTGTTCCCTAATGGGCTTCCACAAGCTGGGGGGAACGCATGGTCCAATAGCGTGGCCAAACTTTGCCCAAACGTTTGGCCACCTAGGCGCATCCTAAACGGCAGGAGGCGGCGATGATTCACCGAAGGCGTCTACGATCCGCCGCCCTCTGTTGACTTGCCACAGGGGTGCACGGCGTGCTAGATGTCTGGGAGGCTTCGGTTCTCTGATGCAAACATCCCCCCTTGGGCTTCGGCCAAGCGCGCTGGCCACCCAAGCTTGGCCGGACCCGGTTGGCAAGGATTTTGTCCGCTCCCGATGGCTCCAAGGTGGCCCAAGATGGCCTCCAAGACCCACGATGGCCTCCAAATTCACCCAAGATGGCCTCCATGACAGCCCACGAGGGCCAAAGCTACCGCCAAATCTGCCCGAGGAGACGATGGCTCCCAGAGGGCCCAATACGGATCAAGAAGCCAGCAGGAGGCCTCCAAGACGGCCCATGAGGCCTCCAAGAGCTTCACCAGGAAGGCCCGAAGACGCCAAAATCATTGATTTCCCCAGGTATTTGCAAAATGTAGGCATTTGCTTCGAAACGACCTTCCGACAACCCAAGACGGGCCAAGGGCCCGCCAAGATCGCCTCAAAATCGCCCAAGAGGCCTCCAAGATGGCCCACGACGGGCCAAGAGGTCCCCAAGACGACCTTACGAGGGCCCAGGAGGGCCCTCAGAGACTCAAGATGGCCTCCCAGACGGCCCTCAAGCGCCCCAAGAAAGCCCCAGATGGCCGCAGGATGTCGTCAAGACGGCCCAAGATGCACCCTAGACGGCCCAAGATGGCCTCAAGATGGCCCAAGAGGCTCCCAACAGGCCTGCAAGACTGGCCAAACTGCCTCCAATAGGTCTTCCAGGAAGGTCCCAAGGTCAAGGTCAAGGTCAGTGAGTTTCCTTTAGTTGTTGAAGGACTTGGGCATGTGTTTCGTTTCAACATTCCGACGGCAGAGTACGGCCCAAGAGACCCCCAGATCACCTCAGGATCGCCCAAGAGGCCTCCAAGATGGCCCACGACGGATCAAGAGGCCCCTGAGACGGCCTCAGAACAGACCCAAGATGGAGCAAGAGGCCTCCTTGACGCTCAAGATGGCCTTCAAGGCGGCCCTTAAACGCCCCAAGGGACCCACTGATGACCGCAGGATGTCTCCAAGACGGCCTAAGATGGCCTCAAGATGGCCCAAGACAGCCAAGGAAGCCTCCAAGAGGTCCTCCAGGAAGGGTCGAAGAGTCGAAACTTGTAGACTGTCGTGTGTGTGCGGGTGTTTGAAAGATTTGGGCATTTGCTTCAAAACGGCCTTCCGACGGCCCAAAACGGCCCAAGAGGTCCGCAAGATTGCCCGAAAACCCTCTGGGAGGGCCCCACGACGGCCCAGAAAGGCTTCCAAGAAGGCCCCTCAGGCCCCAAGGAGGCCCAAATAGGTCCCCAAGAGGCCTCCAAGAGGCCTCCAAGAGGCTTCCAGGAGGCCACAAGAATGACCCAAGAGGCTCTCAAGAGGTCTCTTCATCCTTCTCCGTATCCTCCTTTCCCCTCATTCTCCTCATCCTCTCTTCCTCCCCCACGTGTTCTGCGAAGGGATTCCACCACGACCGGCGTAACGTACGGTCCAATTGCGTGGCCAAACTTTGCCCAGACGTTTGGTCACACGCCAGACTTCTGAGGCGTTCTGGCCCTCTTCTGAAGACCTCCATGGGGTCTCGGCCCAACCCGCCAGCCACCTGGAAAATCCAGGAAAATTCGGTCTCCATTGGCCTCATCCCATCCTCGACGGCCAAGACGGTCCAAATGGCCTCCAAGACGCCTCGAGGACGGCCAAGATGGCCTCCAAGATGCTTCCAAAACGGCGAAGATGGCCTCAAAGGAGCCCAAGATGGCCCAAGATGGACGCAATACGGCCCTATACGCCATCAAAATGGTCTACGATGCCGCCGAGGCGTCACAAGAGAATCACAAGAGGCCTTCGAAGAAGGCACCACGAGGCAACATTCATTCTTTTCCCATGGCTTTTGAATGAAAATTGCGTAATCTCGTGTTCGGGCCAAGAGGTCACAAAGACAGCTCCAAGACAGCCCAAGAGGACCCTAAGTCGGCCCAATCAGCTCCCAAGATCGCCCAAGAGGCCCCCAAACCGGCCCCAAGAGGGCCCAAGCAACTTCCAAGACGGCCCGAAGACGCTCTGGGAGGGCCCCATGACGGCCCAGAGAGGCTTCCAAGACGGCCTCCGACGTCGTCAGACGGGCCAAGAGCGCCTTCAGACGGCCGAAACAGAAGCTCAAGAGGCCCCCAAGAGGCGCAAGGTGGCCCCCAAGAGGCCCCCAAGATGACCTCAGGAGGCTCCCAAAAAGCACCAACGAGGGCCCCCAAAAACCCCAAGAGGCTCCCAAGAGGACCCACCTACGCGTTCCCTTAAGAGGTTCCACAAGGGCTTGGGGAACTCATAGTCAACTAGCTTAGCCAGACGGTGGCCCAACGTTTGACCAGCCCTCGCAGATGCAGAAATGAGACTCATTATGATGTTCTGGCTCGATTTCAGCCATCGTAGGTGCAGAAGTTGTGGCAGGGGAATCGGCTTCTCAAAATTGCAGCTGTCCTAGGTCCAGGAAGTGTTGCAGGGCCATAAGCTTCTCACCATTACAGCTCCCGAAAGTGGGGTCGCTCAGTCCCTCATGCTGATCCAAGAGCGTTCATGTGGACATGTTGGCATCACGAACGACACCCTCTTCAGCAAGTTCAACTCCGCAATCGTATCGACAATATGATGAAGTCGTTTCGCAAGCCGACGTTTCAGGCGTCCATCCGCCTCCACACCGTAGCTAATATTAGGGTGCTTTGCTGTGATCAGTTGTTCCTCAGATGAGTGTTCCATCTCTTCCCCGTTGCTGCAAGCCTGGGGTCTACGGCGCCAGCAGTTTTCCTGTCGAAGACGCCTACGTCAAACCACCGCCGCCCCCTGCACTTCTGGAAACGCCTATCACGAGGGGCTGGGAGGAGGCGTCTCTCCGGCCAAGCGGCGCGGCCCGATGTGGTGTTCTGGCTCGATGTGGTCCAGAAATGAGGCTCACTACAATGTTCTGACTCGATCTCAGCCCCTCCAGATCCAGAAATGAAACTCGTTTTAGCGTTCTGGCTCGATTTTGTCGATGAGACTCACTATTGTGTTCTGGCTCGATTTCCTTCCACCAGCATCTTCACAAAGGAAACCAGGGGAGGCGTCTCACCGGTCCGCCGGCAGTCCCGAATTGACTCACTACGGAGTTATGGCTCGACTTCAGCCCTCGCAGATCCAGAAATGAGACTCACTCTGGTGCTCTGGCTCGATTGGGTCCAGAAGTGAAGCTCACTACGGTGTCCTGGCTCGATTGCAGCCCTCCCAGATCCAGAACTGGAACTTACTAAGGAGTTCTGGCTCGATGTGTTCCAGAAATGAGACTCACTATTCTGTTCTGGCTCGATTTCGTTCCACAAGTATTTCCACCAGGGAGGCCAAGGGGAGGAGGCTGGCCGTTCAGGCGGCTGTCCGGAATCGATTCACTACGGTGTTCTGGCTCGCCTTCAGCCCTCGCAGATCCAAAAATGACGTTGACTCTGGTGTTCCGGCTCGATTTGCCCAGACATGAGACTCACTAATTATGGTGTTCGGGCTCGGATTCAATAAAGATTCCTCTCACCATAATCTCCACAGGTGAAAGGAATCGTTGACCACTGTTAGAATCGTCGAGCGGAACGCTATTGAAGAAAAGCGGCAGAAACATTTGCCTCTGGATGTCCGCGCGAGTTTCCTGGGTCAGCGCTAGGCCCAAGCAATCCGCGCAGACCCCCGAAATCTGATCGCTCCGTTGAATACCCTGGGAAGCTGAGGAGGACAGACACGAGCCCCGAAATCTGATTGATCCGTTGGAATACCCTGGGAAGCTGAGGAGGACAGACACGAGCAAGCTAAGCGGCCAAGAGACCAAGCATCTCAAGGTCCCGTCTTCATTACGGCTAGGTTGGGCGTGACCCCCTACAGGCGGGTTTTGGGCGAACAAAAAAGAAAAACAATAAATACTCAAAAATAGTAAAAGAATGCCCAGAAATTCGTCCCCTGACATATTCTTTGACTATTTTTGAATATTCCTCCTGTAGAGGGGCGTGCCCGACTTAATCTCACGGACGGGCAACGCCCTGGCGGGTGCCGTGGCACCACAGGGGTCCGCACAGCTGCCGCCGGGGCCCTCACGGACCGCAGGCTGCCCAGCGGCGGCATGAACCTGGCGCGCACCAGGCGGGCGGGATCACAAAGAACGACAGGCTCGAGCAATGATCATGGAAAGAAAAAAACCTCCTCCTCCTGCTGCTCCTCCTGCTCCTCCTCCTGCTCCTCCTGCTCCTCCTCCTCCTGCTCCGCACCGGAGCGTGCTCCTCCTCCTCCTTCTCCTCCTCCTTGCGGCACCGGCCGTAAAGCCTTCGCAATACAGATACCCCCACGTAACTACTCGCTTCCCCTTTTTGAGGGCCTTCTGGGAGGCCCGCGCCACCACAAAAGGAAGAAAGGGTACCGATACCGCTACGCACTCGCTTTCCCCTTTTTGAGGGCCTTCTGGGAGGCCCGCGCCACCACAAAAGGAAGAAAGGGTACCGATACCGCTACGTACTCGCTTTCCCCTTTGGGAGGGCCTTCTATAGGAGGCCCGCGCCACCACGACTGGATTCACCTCGGAGTTCGAGCCAGAACACACCCAGGGGAAGGTCCGGGGAGCAGCGGTATCACTACCGTTCGGTTTCCCCCGGTGAGGCGCACCGACTTTGAGCGTACTTCCTTGGGGCCACCCCTTTCCTTCGGGCCCCCCTCCGCAGGGAGCACACACTGCCCCCGGTCTGCGGCGCGGCGAGGCCCGATCAGGCCAGCGCTGGCTGGCAGCCCGCCATGACCGCCCTTGTCCTCCCAGACCTCGGATCGTCATGTGCCGTGACCTTTCCGGAGGAGCTCTCGACCCCATCCCCAGGCCTGGCTCCTCGTCAAAGTCAGACGAGGGCAAGATAAGGGCAAACGTCGGAGGCGGACACACGGGGGAGTCCTCAAGAACTGGCGGGCCTGGAGGATGTGTATATGCGGCGCCGCGGCCGCTCAAGAGCGGTCTGGAATGCTCTGACAGCGTTCTGGAACGCTCTGGAATGATTCATCCTCGTCGTGTAGGCCCGCTTGACCAGGGGGTCGATGTTGGATCGCACCAAGGTCTCCAACAGGGCCCCCCGACGTTCGGAACTGGCGCAGGGCGACCCGCCACGAGCTCTGACCCTGTTGTCCGACGCCGTCCTGGGCCCGCACCCCCAAGGGCCGACCCCACACGGAGCGCGTTCTGACCAGCCTGTCCTCGCGCCCTCGTGGGGTGGCCTGGTGAGCCCGCTTGGAGCTCGGTTCGCTGGGGATGGGGGCTGAGGGGGGGTGCGGAGGGGGAGGGGACTGGCTCGGAATCGGGGGTTGTGACTGTGCCTTTTTCCTCCTGAGATTGGGGGCCGGGACTTCCCTGCGTCACCAACTTGGGCCTGGCACCTGGAGGCTGGCTTCGGAACTCGGGACCGTCAACAAATCGAGTTGGGATGGCACACGCCTCCCCAGGTCTCCGACATCGTGACCTGTTCCATCCTGGCGTTGTTTCTCGACCTCTGGGTGCTCTTCTCTGACCCAGGGGCAGTCAAGAGGCTGCCCGGAGCGAAAACAGCCATCCCAGGAAAACGGAGTCGGGGCCTCTGAATCAAAATCGCGGCTCGGATCACGAGATCGCCACTTCTGCACAGTCACCCTTGCCTTTCTGGGCCCATCTCAGGCCCTGGGAGAAGTGAGGGGACTCAGAACATCAGAAGTTGGCTTGGCCAGGAGGTCGTATCAACCCTGGCCGTGGGCCAAGGATCGGCTCTGACCAAGATCGGCACACCCTGGTGATCGGTCGGCGCCGTCGGAACGGCGTCGGAGGTCCCTGGAAAGAGGCAGGGAGAAGAGGACGGGGAAGAAGTGGGGCGTCAGGGGCACGAGCAGGACCAAGAAGAGGGTCAGAGGCTCCCAAACCCCACCCAACAAGCCATCGCCCTACGGTCAGGAACGCCAAATCACAGACAGAAGGGGCTGTTCTGGCCACGGCCTGCCTTGGCCACGAACAGGCCCCCCCCGACCTAGATCTTAGGAAAAGCAAAAGGACCAGAGAACCTCTCGCGCCCAAAAGTGGTCCTTGCTCCAACACCTCGGCTGCGTCAGATTCTACACATGAATATCTGACCTTCTGAAACGGGGGCCAGGCAACCTCCCCCCGCGAGGGTGCTGCGCTATATCGTCTGGGACCCGGAGGTCGGACGTTGCGAAACATACAACCTCGCGAAAAGTCACGACCAGCGCCCTCGACCCAATTTTTCTGGGAGAATTTTAAAGCCAGATCGACATGTGACATGTGAGGGTCCTGGGGCCCGAACAGGGCAAAAGCGCCAGGCGCGAAAAAGAATGCAACGCCCAGATCTCAGGGGAAGAACTCAAGAAAACATTTCGACCTCCTCTGCGCCTCCTGCACGAAGCTGGCCGCGCACACGTCATTCTGCGTCTGCGCACCAGCCCGCACGCACTCGAGCGGCAAGCGGCGATGGCCCGACATCTTCCGCGCGCCGACAAGTTGCGCGAGGGGGCTCTCTCCAGCACCCTGGCCTCATTGCTTCGGGCTCGGGAGCTCCGGCTGGACGCCGAGCAGGTCGGCGATGACCCGGTGGCACGCCCGCAGCGCACACAGGGTGACAGGGCGGCACCTCGGGGAGAACACGAAGTACCCCAGGACAAACGCGAGCAGCGACACGACGTTGTCAAAGGCAAAAGTGTCCTCACAGGCCGCCGCAGGTGGCGCAAGGGCAGAAGCCGCGGCTGGCGTCATATATCCTTCCCGCGAGAGGCGGGCTATGAGCGGCAGGCTTCCTGAGTGTGCCAAACAAGTACGGGGTGGTATGCAGGAGCAGCGTAAAAATATCCACCCTGCTTGAGCAAACACGTTTGCAACCCGCGGATGCTGGAATGAGTACTACGGCTGTGCAATGTGCAGCTGTCTGCGGATGTGGCTAGGAGCAAAGACATCAGGCACCGATAGGAACATATCGAAAAGGCAACAGAGGATCCTTATTGTGTTTTGCTGTCGCTGTATCGTTCAACGTATCAAACCAGACATCCCCGAACTCAACTTGGGAGAGTAGCGCCGTGTCGATGTCGATTCGCCTTCTTCTGATATAAATGAATATGGCTGTACATTAGTGGTTATAGTAGAACCCTTGCCATCTACATGTGCAAGCGAATTGGCATTTGGATTTTTTTCCCGTGATGGCCAAGCGAGGTGATCATCAGAGAGCCCGCTGCATGGACCCCGTACCAGCACAAAGAAAAAACACTTCCTCATTCGCACAACAAGCCTCGAAATCAAGGTAGGGCTGACGCCTCAGCAAGAGATGTGAGGAAAAACGCAAACTACAACGTCACGATAGGACCCAACAAACATCCCAAAAACAGCTGCAAACGAAGAAACGACGCGCATGGGATTTGATCTCAACGCAAACCAATACGACAACGTATACATACATAGTGCGGACGACGCCTCCGAAAACGACCTGTCTACATGCAAGTGGAGAACGGAGATCCGCCCCGCCCTCCGAATGCGAAATGCCACGTACTAAAGACACAAGTAAACTTGCGGCAAGCAAGCACGGACATACCTGAACCGTTCGTATGAGGCTGAACAGAGAGAAAAGGCAAGTGACGGCGAGACAGTGGTCCAACCTCAGTATCTGTCAATGTGAAGCGGGCTCCATACAATATACTGATATGACCGATGGCAAAAATGCGTGGAAAAAGGCAAGACAACCATAATGCCTTGATTCAACACAGAAGCTAATATATATATATATATATATATATATATGTATGTATACAAGACTGCTTTGGCCCTTCGCGCCATGCGCTATGTTCTGGACCCTCCCTGGCAAAGCAATAAAGCATCGCTTGCTTCAACGGGGGGACCTCGAAGCCTGGACGGGCGACCGGCTCATCTGTTTGATATCCCTGGTGCCTTCCGACACCGCGTTCACCCGATGCGCTTGCACGCTTGTGCGCAGGAGTGGGGAAGGAATGATGCTTTTTCACGCGCGAAGGTCCTTTGAGGAAGTAAGGAGCGTCCCTATGACACGCCAAATAAGTCGCAGTAGCTCCGAACAAATCGATGTTTGGTAGCTTCCTGAATGCCTGGGGAGCTCCAGGCACTCAAGGAATCTTCGATCGTCGAACTTCGAATCTGGATCCATTGCCTGTCTCTCTCGATCGAGTAACTTGAACCTCGAGCCTCCAGCGTGGACCCAAAATTGTCGGGTCAGCTCGATGTACTTCGTAGAAAAACGCCGTCTAGGCGTTTTGGGGGCTCTTTTGGGCCGTCCTGGGGCCCAAGACGGGGCCGCCTTGGGCAGTCTTGGGGAGGTGGGGCCTTCCAGAGGTCTTCTGAAGCCATCTAGGGCCCTCTTAGGGGGCTTCCAATGGCCTTCTTGGGGGTCTCCCATGGCTTTCGTGGGTCTCTTTTGGGAGCCTTCTGGGGGCATCTTGGGCTTCTTGCGGGCAGCCTCGAGGCTCTTTGGGGCAGTCGTGGGGCCCTCTTGGGCCGTCTTCAAGCCCTCTGGGGGGCCTCTTGGGCCGTCTTGGGGCGACATCGGGGGCCCATCGGGCAGTCTTGGACGCTGCGAAGTCCCAAACAGCGGATATGTTAAACTTATACATGTTCCCGAGCGGGTGGGACGATTGTTGCTTCTTCGGGGCTCTCTTAGCAACCTCTTGGGGCGTCTTGGGGGCCTCTTAGGCCGTCTTCAGACCATCGAGGTTCCTCTTGGAGCGCTCTTGTGCTGTCTTGGGTTTCTCTTGCGCCTCTCCGATGACCCCTCTGATCGCCTTGAGTCTGCTCGCAAGGCCCGGCAGACCTTCTCCAAGGGCGTCCAGGGGCTCATGAGACGTCCGAAAGGGCGTCCAAGGCGTCCCTGGGGGGGGTCCGATTAAGGGGGGGTGGGAGGGGGGCTTCCGGGTAATAACAAATGTAAGAATAATACTATACTATTGAATTATAGATTTGTATTGGCATGAGCGGGGAGCCTGTGATATTCAAAAGCTGTGGAAGAACACGTGACACATAAACATCACGATCACATGTACGAGGTAGCTGGCTCACACCACGATCTTACACCGCATATCTCCCTTTCACCACATACCACACACGACATCCGCCGACCCCCGTTTGCCCGGGGTGCAAAGGAGAGTGAGATGATTGGCTGTCCCCCTCCACCGTTCCCCCTCCCCTGGGGTCTGAAATCCGATTAGAGGGGGGGGCCCTGGAGGAGGCCTGGGTGAAAGGGCGGAGGGGGGGGGGGGGGGGGGGGGGGGCGAGCCCGCCAACGCTCCCCCGGTGCCCCTGAAGCCTCCATTACTCTGTGGCCTCCAAGATGCCTAAGAATCGGTCTACGCTTGCTCAAGCAGGATACCAACTAACACAGGAATCCTCGAAGACGACCAAGATAGCCCCAAGACTGCCCAAGAGGCCTCCCACACGCTCCAAAAGGACTCCAAGACGACTACTGAGAGGACCCCAAGAAGCAAGAATCGTCAAAAGCATTGAGGAAACTTCTCATTTGAATATGTTCGCATGTTTATCTCAACAGCGCCCAAGACAGCTCAAGAGGCCCCCATGTCGCTCCAAGACGGCCCAAGAAGCTCCCACGAGGGCCCCAAGAGGGGCCCAAGATGGCCCAAGAGCACCCCACATGGCAAAAAGAGGGGCCCAAGAGAAGCAACTCGAACTGACATTCTGAGCCTCCGCCCGAAGAGGACTCCCGAGACCGCCAGCAGGTGCACAAGAAACTCACAAGAGGCCCGAAGAGGCCCAAAACAGGCACAAACGAGGCGCCTCAAGGGTCCACAAGAGGCCCCAGAAGGCCTCACCCATTGACTTCGTCCCTCTTCTGGGGGTCGGCGAAAAGGCGTTAGCCTCTGAAATAACTCACGCAACCCAGCTCAGACAACACAACTGACACCACATAGCTGACACAATATAGCTTACACTACGTAGCTCGCACCGCATAGTTCACACCACATAGCTCACGCCGCCTAGCGTGCATCGCAGAATTCACATCATATAGCCCACACACCGCCTCGCTAGTAGCACATCGCTCACGCCCGATAGCTTGCACAACATTGTGCGCGCCACATAGCGAATACCACACGACTCACACACCATATCTCACACAGCATAGCTCAAACCGCATAGCTCACACAGTATAGCTTACACAACCTAGCGTGCACAATATAGCTCACACCACGTGTCTTACACCGCATAGCTGACATGACCACAATGACATAACTTACGTGTTGGGGTCCAAACTGGCTAAAACTATGGAACTCGGCACATCCGTAGAGACCCGACATGCTGTCGACGGATTCCCATGTTTTGAATATCAAGCCGAAGACAATTGTTGGATGCTATCTCAAACGAAACGCCCGTGTGAACAAACACATTGAAACGGACACGTTGTGATAAACCTGGAGGCTGCTGGGCCGCCGTGGAAGCTCCGAGAGCACAACGCATCTCGTTGAACGTCTCCATTGTTTGAATACGAATGGATTACAGAGCAGCCTTGAACATATCAATCTTCGGAGGATGACTGAAGAGAGAATCTGCTTGTTGTAGAAGCGGAGTCTGAGCAAACAACTCCTTAACATCCCAATGTTTAGAGGACGCCTAAAGCGTAAACGGCGTGTTTGGCTCCATGGCGCCTCTTGACACGAATAGGATGGGCCTGAGATTGGAGAGCTGCGGGAGAATCTGCAATAACAATATAACGTGCTCGCCGAATGTCCACGGGGGGCATTTATGGAAACACGCTCCCCAAACAACCTACCGCAAGGACCGAGGGGGGTGTCCAAACCGCCTCTTCTCTTGGATCCTCCCATGGTGTAATATTGAACCAGCGTTGGGCGTCTAGAGGCGACGTCGGGACTGAGCTTTAAAATATTTGCACGTGAAAATAACAGCTGTTCAGCTGTTCAATGGCCCTGGTCCTCTCAACACATCGTAACCACACACGCTAGTTAATTACCAACGACTTCCATCAATCATACTTTTGCACTCGACGCAGAAAAACAACGCATGGCAGAAACATGGCATCGCCCAGATGCTGAGTGCTGGAGAGGGGTGCGTGTGTGCGGGGGGGATCGTGACGAGGAGATGGCGGACCGAAACTCTAACAAATCGAGCGCAAGTTGAGCGCAAGCGACCGCAAATTGAGCCCAAACTCGAGCCCCCTGCCACTCAACTTGCGCTCAATCTTGGCCAGAGGGGGATGTCCGCGCTGGGGGGGCAACCGAACGGCGAACCAATAGGCGCCGAGCGCGACTGACATGAGTCGGTGCGTTTGAGGGTCCCCATCTCTCCCGAATAAGACCACACGCATACTTGAACGAAACATCCCACGGATGCACATGCAAGAAGGAATGTAATACATGATCGGTCTTATATTCGGCTCAGGAGTCGAACGCCCCCCCTGCGTTTTTAAGAACTATGTTTTCTTGGTGACGGGGCGTCGTTTGCTT